AGAAGTCTCCTACTGACAAGTTTCCCTGCAACAAGCAAAGGTGCAATCTGAGGTCATGTGCACAGAGAAACAAATGTCCGCACTGGAGAGGCATCGACCAAGATACTGAGCATTCAAGACCTAACTGACCAAAACATTTTAACATTAATCCTAAAGCACACAAAAGCACCACTGAAGTCAAAAGATTACTCACATACTAAAAACCTCACATTAGCTAAAATGTTTTGCTAGATCATCCATGATGCTCAGCAGTATGTATGACTAATTAGCTTCTTTATTTAATAAAATTAAGGGCCTCTTCAAATACCAAACGTAAGATCTAGACCTCAAATATGCCTATGTTTTAATTTGGCTAAAAAAGAAAAAACACCTATTCTAATAACTGTAAATAATGTAGGTATGAATAATCAGATATTAGTGTTTTCAGACTGGTTTACTAACACGTTTACACTGATTAACTATTTTACTTTTCCCAAAAGTGCTCTGCATGAAGACATATTAATATAGAAAATTAGCCCAGCTTATTAAATTAATACATTTGTCACCATCATAGAAAATTCTAAATTTATTAAGCACACTGTAGAAAGCAAGAGCATCTTTATTTGTATGGAAGGAACAGGTTGAAAGAACAGGAGGAATTTAACACAAAAATAAGTGTCTTAAATGCAATAGAACACTTTTGTAAAGATGACTGTTGCTGGAGGGGTTTTGTGGTTTTTTTTGTTGTTTGTTTGTTTTTTGTTTGTTCGGGTTTTTTAGTTTGGGGTTTTTTGTTTTGCTTTTTTGTTTGTTTGTTTTTAATAACTTACCAACCCTGAATTTTGTTGTATGTTAGAGAGGGTTTTTTGGGTGGTTTTTTGGGTTGGTTTTGGTTGGTTGGTTGGTTTTTTTAAAGACAGCCACGCTCAGGATTTGCAGAGTCAAATGAATGTTTATCACACAGTTGTTGAAACAGGTGTAAACATATTTTTAAATGAAATATCCAAATCTGCAAATAATCATGCATGCAAGCAATTTCTAGACAACTGTCATGCCTGAAGTGAAATGCATCTTTAAGTTGCTTCAGAATCAGTGTAAAACAATGTTAAGAATAAAATACATCTATTAAGTCTTGCCTTCTATGTCATGTCTCCTCAGTTGCCAGTGAGAATTTTAAACAGTATGCCTGAAAATGAAAAATGAAGCTTTTTTTCTCTGAGCCAAACCCTCCTCTGTATGTGCCTGAGACGCACAGATATTTTAAAGAATTACAAAACAAGGTACTATAGTCTTCAGCTAAAAAGGGATTCTATCAATAAAAAGCAAAACCATGTTTGATTACTCTTGAGCTAGAGGTCGTGGGGGCAACTCATTCTATAGAAACTCAACAGACCCTGTCAACTTCAAAAGAACAGCATGGCAAAATCCTACAGTACTTTCACAGCTAAAGAAGAAAAACAAGACTTTGAATGCACACAGGAAGTAGTGAAAGAAGATGGGAGTCATGTCAGATGCATACTGCTGATCAGAATTGTATCACCTGATCAGGAAATACTATACCAAAAAATATTGTATTAAAATTGTACTAAGATATAAATTTAATAAACATTGATAAAGAATTTATTGATAATGAATGATAATACAAAGTCCTTATTTAAAGAAAAAAACATGTATATTACCAGTCAAGTTTACGTGCATTGAAACTTACATTTAAATTTTTTTCAGAGTTGGATTTACTATTACTTTAATATTCAGTTAGTAAGTTGCTCTAAATAAGAGTGGACAGTGTGTTCATGATCCAAGAACACTATCACTGTGCTCACGAAACTGCAGGCAATGAAAAGACTTCATCCTAAAATATGCACTGGAACTACCTCAGTCCTGTATCAATTCCCCTATATACATAAGCCCATTGAATGAGAATTTCAGGGGCCCATTTCTGTGAAGATAACCTTATCTGATGTTATTCTGAAATGTCTCAGATGGTATTTCACTGAACCTTACATCAGTCAATGCCCAGATTTTTATGTAAAAACATTTTATTCAGCCATAGATGGTTCTTCTGGTTCAGCTTTCAAATATTTGCTGCCTGATTCATATACCTGAGCTCAGAAAAACCTTGACTGACAGAATTTCAATAATATTTTTGATAAAAACTGCTAACATACCACAAAATTCAAGGTTGGTATGTTATACGAAGGTAGTGTTTCTGGACTAAGAGCCCACAGTGTGCAGGCATGCATGAATAACTTTACTGAGATCATGAGACTCTGTGCCGGATGTCTGGATGTTTACAAATGCAGAGGCATTATTTCTACAAATGGCCAATTTTAGCCACTGCTTTGTTGACAGAATTTTCCACATAATCTTTGAAGTAATTGGCCTTTAAACTTGATGCATGTCCAAAGAGCTGTTAAGCACTGAATTCCTTTGGTATAGTTTCCATTTGCATGTTCTAGCCTTACATAAAACCTTTGTTTCAGCAAAATGGGTTACTATTTTGCTGAAATAAGTATTTTACTGTACTTTAAAGAAAAATCTCAATATTTTGCAGTTTCCTCCTTTCTGTCATCTAAAAAGTAAACTAGAGAGCAGAAGAGGAAATGGAAGAATTTGAAAAAATAACATAGATCTTTATTGTAATCAGAAGTTAGTATAAAGTATTACCGAATATACAACCTCTTCATCAAAAGCCTGGTTTCCATGGTGACCAGCATATCCTCTGCTGTTTTGGTTTGGTTTTTTTAAAGACCTTGTTCTTGAGCGTCACCCGTCCCCACAATTAGGATGCAAGATAAGCTCAGAGAAATGTGCTTTTTTTTCCCCTCCAATATCTAAACTAAGTGGAGGACTTGGATGCCCACACAGCACCAGCATAATGCATGGTGCTTTTTATCTAATGAAAACTCACCCATCCAACAGAGTTACTAGTAGCTACTCTGATGAAAATATCCGTCAAATAATTCTGTAAAGCCATCTGGATGACAGTGACAAGCAGGTGAACCACTGCTCAAGGTCATCATGCTCCAGCTTTAAATTGTGTCAGAACATAACCTACAATTTGGTGTCCTGGGTCAGACTAGAAGCCTTCTAGTCCACTTGCTGAAGCATACTGTCCCCAGTAATAGCCAGAGGTCATAATTTCCTGCTATTTTATCATCATTAAAAGTGACCACTTCTTCCCTCACCCTATAAACTGAACCATCGCAGCCTCCTAGCCGTGATACAAACCCCATTCTAACCAGCTATAGCTTAAAACCAAGTTGAACTCATGATTTCCTATATTTACCAACATAGTTGCTTTTTACTTTTGCTATTTCCACTTGGCTCATACAGTTACTTCCCCACTTGCCGCTCATGATATTTAATACAAAGAAAGATTAAAAAGTGTTGCGCCTCATCTCCTTGTATAGAACAAAACACCTATCACCGGACCAGTCAGATGCTTTTCTTGTCCCCGCAATATCAGTTGTAATAATACACACAATTCCCAGATTATTTCAGTTTTCAAGCTGTTTTTACAACAACTAACTAAAATCACCAGTAACCCCTAATCACTATGAGTTTACATAGCATTCAAAATTTACATAGTACAGACACAGCCTATTCCTCACAGCAAATTGCATCCTCTGTTCAGCTGCCCAACACACTCAACGTCCAATTCAGATCCACGTCCTATTTTTAACAATGACTCATTTAATTTCATCCTCACCCTCTTGTGGTCTCAGTTCAAGACTATTATATAACTCAACCCAGCAAAATATATAGCTAAAAATTTTTTACTGTTACAGTTTCATTGCTTGCTCATAATTTATGGCAAAGATGCCTTTTACTCCAATGTAACAGAGGATGTTTATTAATATAGGTTCTAAACTATCAGCTCTACTAACACAAGACAGAATATTTTGTTTCATCTGCTATCCCCCCTAGAGGGGTCCAATTTCTGCTCTATCAAACACTACTCTTGTGACCTTGCAGAATAGTTGGATAATTGCTCCACCTTTCTGTTTCTTCCTCCCTCACCTACCATCCACAGAATGGCACAGTGTAATATCTGCCTATGAAAAAAAAATAATAAAAGCCTGTTTTCAACAAGCTTTAGGTGCAGCATGCTCTTACCTTTACGTATGGAGCTGCACTGATGCTCTCCCTTCCCCCACAAACTTAATCTCCAATAATTTATTTTCACCCTGCAGTATTTTCACCTTAAAGACTGAAGTTTTTCAAGTATGCGAATGACAGTATTTTTGGCAAGGGAGAAAGAAGCACCCAGGGGATGTATTTAAAAGAAATAAGAAAGAAGCATGTAGATATTTGTGCATGAGGTATGTTTACAGTTTTTACTCTTGATGTGGAAAAGATGACTGGGCTTTGAGAACTTGTCATTTGCAAAGCAGCAATTACTTCTGTAACTCCACAGTGGTATCTCATAGGTGCGGGTTTTTTTTCCATGCAGGCAACAGGGAGTACGTGCCCATTTCAGGGGATTTCTGCAGCTTTATTTCCAGGATAGAAATGAAACAAGGGGATAGGAAACAACGGAAAAAAGGAAGCACAGAAAGTGCAGAGAGAGAGAAGTTGTGCAACAGCAAAAGAGGGCTTGTTCTATAAGCACAGGAGTACCAAAGGCAAATGCATGAACTGACAGGAGGCAGCAGGGGGTGGTTCTAAAATATGTGTAAACAAGTTATGCTATATTTGAGTGAAAGTTTTGATCATCCTAGGTTAGATTACCTTATACTGCAGCCTGAGTGGGTCTTTCCATTGATTCCAATGGAGCTTAAACAAAGTCCTGAATTTCAAACTAAAAAACAAAGTAAGGGGGCTCCCAGCAAGTCAGTAGACTTCAGAATTCTGTCCGAGGGTTCCCCCCCCCCAAAGCTTCTCAGACTTCTCAACCAAAAGACATTACTTAGACATAAATGCCACAGAGATATTAAAACTGATCAGAGGCAAGCACAAAGCAGCAGATAATCTACTGGACGCTAGATCAGCAAATGCCAAATAAACCCCCTGCTTACCTGTTACAGAAACAGGGGCTCGCAGCTGGAAGCCGGTCACAGACCAGCTCTCTAGAGCGTGGTGATCCACTTTCACCTCAGCCCTAATCAGCCAATTCAGCAGCCTGTCCACGGGCCCATGGACATCCATCCTGACCAAGTGAGAGCCACAGGCAACACCATGATTTGCTCTCCTTAACCTTTTAGTTTCCCAAAGCCACAAGTTAAGCAAAGCACCTTGCCTGTGAGCCAGGGGGTGGGAAACCACTTTCCTTCCAGCAGCCAACATGGGAGGAAAAGCTACATGGAGCTTCCTCCAGGTATCTCCTCCTCAGAGCTGAGCAGAAGCAGGCTGAGGGCAATCAGAGATACAGAGCTGGAAGTGCCTCTTGCCTGGAAACTGTATAAATGAGGAAAGCAAAATAATAGATAGGAAAGGGAGGACAAATTCACAGTATGTACATAGAAGAAAGAGCTGGGCAGGAAAGAGATGGAAAATAGGAAGAGATTTTCAGAGGTATGCAATGGATATTAGGGGAATGACTAAAGAGGAAGAAATATAAAAATGTGAGGAAAAATGAGCAAAGAGAAGAAAATACAGTAGGTGAAAGAGTAGACAGCATTGCATTTTTCAAATTGGTATCTCCAGACTTTTTTGTGGAAATTGGTTATCCTTCTTTTAATGGGGGGAGTGATGGGAAACAAAACAAGTTATCTTAAACCAAGCTTTAAAGACAGAGGAAGAAAATAAATAAGGGCTTTATTGGAGTTATTGTGCATAGTTCATTCCATTTTAATTATACGGCTCTTGCTCTCTGTCTCAGTCATGTACTGCAGCACTACACATGAACGCTTCCTACTTGACATCTGAAACTCTGACACATGTCCTTTCTCTTTCAAAGGACCAAGAATTCAATATCCATATCAGATTGAAAAAGCTTGTTAAAAATTGTGTTTTCTTTATGGTTTTCCAAAATTAGACTTACTTTTTTTTTCTGGTTCACTCTCTTTAACATCTATCAAAAGGAGATTTATTAGGTATTTTTATTTAAATAGGCTCTTCCAGCACAAGGATATATCAGTTACTTACACATACAACACTTCAAGGTTTAACTGTGCTGTATTCTCTAATGAGCCACAAAATAAAAAAGCATTCTATTTGCAGACACTTAATTTCTCTGAAGATAAAGTTGGGAAATGTCCTATTTTGATTCCGTAAAGTTAACAAGAAGATATTAAGTAATAATTTTATGCTTATCTTTTACTAGACATTAGTATTTTGGTTATAAAATATGCAAGATAGGTACAGTGTTCACAAAGAAAGGCATGTCATTGACAGACGAATGAAACAGATTGCTGTTTTGCACAGCATCAGTAAACCCATGTTAGATTTAAAGAGCTAATTAAACATTTCCTTCTTGCACTGAAAGTCTTAATGATTCTCTAGCACTAGAAGGCTGCAATTGGAAAAGTGGTACAGAGACACATCCTTATGTAAAAAGCAGTTCTGTTACTGACCAGAACTCCATCCTAACCCTTTTCTGTATTAACTGGCTAGCACACAAAACCAGATTATTGCCCAGAGAAAAGGGGTCTCCATGAAATCTGACATTCAAATCAATTCTTGTTGCACCAGCTGGGGTCAATGGACACTGCAGAAATGTATTCAAGAAAGAATAAGGCAACCAAAAAGAATGAAAACTTATAAATCCAAGTCTGTGTTAGCTAAGTAGCAATTTCAGAAGGAGGCTGTGTATTACAGACCTTCCTGAGTTTAATTTCATGTGCACCAGCAATGAGCAAATGGTGATAGCATCAGATTCCAGTTTAAATTTGTGCAATGACGTGCCAACATCAGATCAGCAAAAAGGGCCAATATCTACATTCTAGATAAAAAGAAAGGCCAGGCCTTGTATTTAATTTCAAAAAAAAGATGTTAGCAGAAAGAGAATGCTGGAGAGTAAATGCACTTCCAGCTCTAAAGACGCTCTCTAAAGACAAGATTGAAGCACACTGATACAGCACTACAGGAGGCACGTGTTAGCTTTGCCAGTGTTAAATGCCTTCAACCAACAAAGCATGATCAGTGCTGGTTAGCATTTCTAAATACACGTTGTAACAGGGACTACCAGCTTAGGCAAATTTTGGTTTCTCATTGGTAAGTGGTAAGAACCATTAGAGAATCAGATAAATTGATTTCAATGGCACAACTCTCAAGTCCAAAATTAAGCATATACTTAATTGCTTTGCTGGATCAGAATCAGGCAGCTCAGCAGCTTCTAGGCTTGATCCTATGATAAGGTCAGACAGCTACAGAAGTTTCACAATTTTTATTTCCTTCCTTTTAAACATGAGTTTTTAGAATGATCTGTGCACTTAATGTAAGCCAGAATTTTGAGTAAACAATATTCAACTCTTTGAATCATAAAAGTAATCCTATTGGTAGCCAGAGCCTTGAAATTGCTTCAGTACATGTATTTAAATCTTTGGAAGTATAGACTTAATGGCACTCTGTCCCAAGAGTCAGCAAGGACACTAATGTTACCAAAATACTTAATATTCTTTTTAAGATCCTAATTCATCACACTTATTGAATGCAGTATGCTTTTTAGCCATTTCAGGTTTAGACTTAAACACATTTAGTCTCATTTTATTCAGGGGAAAAATGCATACGCTGCATCTCAGGAGCAAAAGATGACACAGCACTGCAGGAGAGGCATTCTGTAACAAACTGCAATCCCCACTAATTTTGATAAAAGTAGTCAGCAGTTGCCATTCATAACATTGGGAGATTCTGCTGGTGGCTGAACGAAAGAATTGAGAGAGATAAACCTCTCCTCTTCATGGCCACACTGTTTAATAAACAGAGACACCGTGCCTGCGTTAGCAGACAGTACAGGCCAGGAGCAGAGGCAGGCTGTTGGCAGTCAGGGCACTGAGATAAGTCTATGCAGTTGTCAGCTGGGCTGCATTGTTTCTTGGGTTCAGCTGACTTCAGAGCTCCAAGTAACATTTTTGCAAATGATATTTTTCCTCTTTATAAACCTCACTAGGAGCTCTCTATTAGACACTAATAAACTGCAGAAACCTCTCTCTATTCCACTCCCTTTTAAGACACTGTACAAAGAATACCAAACAAACCTCCCAAAATGGTCCCTGCCTCCATGCAAGCATAAAAAGAAAACAGGCAGAGAAGCACAAGCAGTCAGCAACACTGTAGGTACGGCAGATTTTGCCCCTGGCAGTTAAAGAGCATGGAAATTCAAGTGAAGATTCTAATCAGAGATAACACAGATGTGTTTTGTTTCTACTTCTTAGTTTTGTAATTTCATCAATCCCTTTGTAGCTAAAAGCCAAGCAAAAAGAGGGTACAACCTCAGAAACAACCATCACGTTTCCAATTCCCTTCTTTGTCTTCACCTCCCTCTTTCCCCCCAATATACAGGGCGTGTATTAGGACTCCTTAACAAAAATCAATGCATAACTACAAACTGTAGACCAAACTGAGCCACTGACTTTATTACTTTTTTACAGGTTAATATGCAGCAAGATCCATGGAAATTTTGTCTGGTTGCACCCAGGCCACTGCACGTTGCTCTGCATCTTTGATAATGCTTTCAACCATGGTAAGGAGCATCAGCACCATCTTGTGGCTCTCACTTTTGTATGCAGTCCCAGGAGTTAGGCAGTTTATGAGCCCTTCAAATTAAGATTTGCAACTGGAACCCGTTAACTCTAAGTGCTAACACCAGCAGTTGCATCACCAGGGTCGCTTAGCAGTTTCTTCAGACTCTGAAGGCTGCTGATCAGGATAAGCGAACAGATCAGATGTCTGTTCTGCAGAACCAGCTATTTCTCAACCTTTATAAAAATTAAATTATTAAATAAACAGAAACTGAAACCTACTGTCTTGGTTTTTCTTTTTTTAAATAGCTTTTGTTTTGCTAGTCTAAACACAGCAAACTTTTTTATTCTCCACTTATAAGATGAGCTCTCCTCTCCCATATCATTCTGGTAGTTCTTCTCTGCTTAAGCCCCAGTACATCTCTATCTTTTTTCAAAATAAGCAGTCAATTTGGGTAAACAACTTTAATCTCTCCCTCTGTGGCAAATATTTCACCTGAGACACCTCAGGCTTCCATTTGTTTTTTCACAGCTGCATCACACTTCTGATTAGTAGCTGGATTTATCTTCCTCTATCATTTCCAGCTGAGGACTCCCAGCCCACAGGAGAAAAAAAAAATCCTGTTATGCACAGTCTTGAAACCTGTGCGATTGTATTTCACCACTTTTCCCTTTTTCTGTTCCCAAAAGCCATTCATTTCTTCCCACCTGACATTCAGATTCTCCTCTGTAGTGAATATGTCTCCCAGCTTAGACTCATCAGCACATCTCATCAATGCACTCCCCCTTTCCAGGCAGAAGTCATCCATAAAAATATTAACCTTGTTTCCAAACCAGTACTGGGAAAACTCCACTATTAATCTACCTTCCGTTTAGTACTCCCCCTCCCAAGACTGTTGTCAAGTCTCCCTTTATCATGTCCTTATTCACATTATAATTCTTCTAAGTCTCATTTTTCTCCAGGTGAACAAATAACTTCCTAGGCAGGCCAATACTGTTCCTTTTACAGAATTCAGCTAACGTTAGATCTGTTGCACTCAGTTCCTTTGCATCTAGCTTATCAAATAAATTTAACTGGAGTCCTACACCATACTAAAAAGTAGTCAATGTCACAATTTATTTCTTTATATAGCTTTTTAATGTTATTGTGTGATTTAAAACAGGCATTAAAAGCTGCATGAGACAAGACAGCTCTGTCAAAAAAATATATGGATGCTGCAGAATCAAAGAATCGATTTAAATATGCATTTAAGTATGCACTTACATACAAATCAAGAAATACATAACAAATTAATTTGATTTTTGTCTATATAGCATTCGCAGCAGGTGACAATATCTCGCAGTGTAGAAACAAAGGGAAAAGGTTTGATGCTATGATTGTACCAGCAAAATAAAATGGAGAGGTCCTGGGAATTTACGTAAACAAAACACGTGACTCGAGCTGTAGCCAAGCTTTCAACAGATTTGAGCAATGAAGCTGGAACACTC